TAGCAGCCCAGCTCGTTGCCTAGCTGGTAGCCTAGGTCACAGCCTCGCTGGTTGCTAGCAGCCCAGCTAGTTGCCTAGGTGGTAGCCTAGCTAGCAGCCCAGCTCGTTGCCTAGCTGGTAGCCTAGCTAGCAGCTTCGCTAGTTGCCTAGCTAGCAGCCTAGCTGGTAGCCTGGCTAACAGCCTAGCTGGTTGCCTAGCTAGCAGCCTAGCTGGTTGTCTAGGTGGTAGCCTAGCTAGCAGCCCAGCTCGTTGCCTAGCTGGTAGCCTAGCTCACAGCCTCGCTGGTTGCCTAGCTAGCAGCCTTACTGGTTGCTTAGCTAGCAGCTTCGCTAGTTGCCTAGCTGGTAGCCCAGCTGGTAGCCTAGCTAACAGCCTCGCTGGTTGCCTAGCTAGCAGCTTCGCTAGTTGCCTAGCTGGCAGCTTCGCTAGTTGCCTAGCTAGCAGCTTCGCTAGTTGCCTAGCTAGCAGCTTCGCTAGTTGCCTAGCTAGCAGCTCAGCTGGTAGCCTGGCTAACAGCCTAGCTGGTTGCCTAGCTAGCAGCCCAGCTGGTTGCCTAGGTGGTAGCCTAGCTAGCAGCCCAGCTCGTTGCCTAGCTGGTAGCCTAGCTAGCAGCTTCGCTAGTTGCCTAGCTAGCAGCCTAGCTGGTAGCCTGGCTAACAGCCTAGCTGGTTGCCTAGCTAGCAGCCTAGCTGGTTGTCTAGGTGGTAGCCTAGCTAGCAGCTCAGCTCGTTGCCTAGCTGGTAGCCTAGGTCACAGCCTCGCTGGTTGCCTAGCTAGCAGCCTTACTGGTTGCTTAGCTAGCAGCTTCGCTAGTTGCCTAGCTGGTAGCCTAGCTGGTAGCCAAACTCACAGCCTCGCTAGTTGCCTAGCTAGCAGCCCAGCTGGTTGCCTAGGTGGTAGCCTAGCTAGCAGCCCAGCTCGTTGCCTAGCTGGTAGCCTAGCTAGCAGCTTCGCTAGTTGCCTAGCTAGCAGCCTAGCTGGTAGCCTGGCTAACAGCCTAGCTGGTTGCCTAGCTAGCAGCCTAGCTGGTTGTCTAGGTGGTAGCCTAGCTAGCAGCCCAGCTCGTTGCCTAGCTGGTAGCCTAGCTCACAGCCTCGCTGGTTGCCTAGCTAGCAGCCTTACTGGTTGCTTAGCTAGCAGCTTCGCTAGTTGCCTAGCTGGTAGCCCAGCTGGTAGCCTAGCTAACAGCCTCGCTGGTTGCCTAGCTAGCAGCTTCGCTAGTTGCCTAGCTAGCAGCTTCGCTAGTTGCCTAGCTAGCAGTCTAGCTGGTAGCCTGGCTAACAGCCTAGCTGGTTGCCTAGCTAGCAGCCTAGCTGGTTGTCTAGGTGGTAGCCTAGCTAGCAGACCAGCTCGTTGCCTAGCTGGTAGCCTAGCTCACAGCCTTGCTGGTTGCCTAGCTAGCAGCCTTACTGGTTGCTTAGCTAGCAGCTTCGCTAGTTGCCTAGCTGGTAGCCTAGCTCACAGCCTCGCTAGTTGCCTAGCTAGCAGTCCAGCTGGTAGCCTAGCTAATAGCCTCGCTGGTTGCCTAGCTAGCAGCCCAGCCGGTTGCCTAGCTAGCAGTCCAGCTGGTAGCCTAGCTAATAGCCTCGCTGGTTGCCTAGCTAGCAGCCTAGCTGGTTGCCTAGCTGGTTACCTAGCTGGTTGCTTAGCTAGTTGCCTAGCTGGTTACCCAGCTAGCAGCCACGCTAGTTGTCTAGCTAGCAGCCTAGCTAGCAGCCTAGCTAACAGCCTAGGTGGTAGCCTAGCTCACAGCCTCGCTGGTTGCCTAGCTAGCAGCCCAGCTCGTTGCCTAGCTGGTAGCCTAGCTCACAGCCTCGCTGGTTGCTTAGCTAGCAGCCTTACTGGTTGCTTAGCTAACAGCTTCGCTAGTTGCCTAGCTGGTAGCCCAGCTGGTAGCCTAGCTAGCAGCCTTACTGGTTGCCTAGCTAGCAGCCTTACTGGTTGCTTAGCTAGCAGCTTCGCTAGTTGCCTAGCTAGCAGCCCAGCTGGTAGCCTAGCTAACAGCCTCGCTGTTTGCCTAGCTAGCAGCCCAGCTCGTTGCCTAGCTGGTAGCCTAGCTCACAGCCTCGCTGGTTGCTTAGCTAGCAGCCTTACTGGTTGCTTAGCTAGCAGCTTCGCTAGTTGCCTAGCTGGTAGCCTAGCTGGTAGCCAAACTCACAGCCTCGCTAGTTGCCTAGCTAGCATCCCAGCTGGTAGCCCAGCTCACAGCCTCGCTGGTTGCCTAGCTAGCAGCCTTACTGGTTGCTTAGCTAGCAGCTTCGCTAGTTGCCTAGCTAGCAGCCCAGCTGGTAGCCTAGCTAACAGCCTCGCTGGTTGCCTAGCTAGCAGCCTAGCTGGCTGCCTGGCTAACAGCCTAGCTGGCTGCCTGGCTAACAGCCTAGCTGGTTGCCTAGCTAGCAGCCTAGCTGGTTGCCTAGCTAGCAGCCTAGCTGGTTGCCTAGGTGGTAGCCTAGCTAGCAGCCTAGCTCGTTGTCTAGCTAGTAGCCTAGCTCACAGCTTTGCTAGTTGCCTAGCTAGCAGCCTTACTGGTAGCCCACCTCACAGCTTCGCTAGTTGCCTAGCTAGCAGCCCAGCTGGTAGCCTAGCTAACAGCCTCGCTGGTTGCCTAGCTAGCAGCTTCGCTAGTTGCCTAGCTGGTTACCTAGCTGGTTGCTTAGCTAGTTGCCTAGCTGGTTGCCTTGCAAGCAGCCTAGCTGGCTGCCTGGCTAGCAGCCTCACTAGTTGTCTAGCTAGCAGCCTCGCAGGTTGATTAGCCTAGTTCTATGTACCATCCATCATCCATCCATCTTCCCTATTGATATATTGATATTGTTGGTATATACCACCAGCTTGGGAACCTATTATACAGGAGATAAAATCCCAACCCCGAGCACACACTGCAAGACCATCAGATACTATTAGTTGTTTTTGTTTGCATAATTTAACATAAGAAGGAGATAGAGAGCCTCTCTTGAGTTTTTTTCGCCGGTTCTTCTCAGGAAGGTCTCCCAATTTTGGAACCGGTGGTAGTTTACGGTAGTTAGGGTCAAATAAATAAACTCAAAATTATAAACAAGAATTTTAAATAAAATTCTTTATTAAGTAAATTAAATAATAAATTCATACATAGTCAATAAAATTTTAAAAATCTTCCAATGAAATAACCGAACGCTCAATATAAGTCTTTCGAAGGTAGCTCGACAATTTTAAATAAAAAATCATTATTCTGACGATGCAGACCTGAAAAGGCTGCGAAACGTCAATAAATAAATAAAGTTTCGTGCATTAACCCGTAAAAACTAGTTTTATTTAATGAGTGATGTGCGTGAAAACCTAAGAAACAAATAGTTTTAAGTATAGAGAATCACGCCAGAATCGACACCAGTGTATCCTTGTCATTCTCTATACAGAATGGAAAGGAGAGACTGATGTTATATTTAGTTTTAAGTTAAGACAATCATGTAATAGCAATAATTTTCCTATTCGAACAGAAACGTTTATTGCGCAAGCTTCATTTCGTCACGTCACAAGCAATAGGGTATTAGGTCGGCAAAACCATTTTTTTTTATTTGCGTTTCGAAAACTTCATTTTTTTTTATAAACTGGTAAGATAATTGTATTTTAATTCGAAATAGTTTTTGAATTATAACAACACCTGTCGTCAATTTCTAGGCAAAATTTATGATTGTGAGTAGTCTGAACAGTATTAAGTTTATACCCTATTGCCCGTTCGGATTAATACAAGTTGGAAGTTTTATTTAAAATAATACCCTCTGGCCTGTTCAATTTTATTTAATATGTTATTTTCAGTGAAATTATTTTAAAATGATACTAGTTGTAATTTTAACATGAGCCATTTGAACTGCTTATAGGGTATTCGCTAAAGCGTAAACCCAGTCACATAAAAAAGTACTTTTAAAAAAAAATGGGTGCGTGTACTTATGTAGGCGCGTGAGAAGTTATCCTTCTTTGGCATCGTTTAAAATTAGTTTTTAATTGCATGCAAATAATTAATTACAATAAATTAATAAAAAGTCTGGAAAAGGACACAGTCAATAAAGATCAGTTTTAATTTGAAAAAATAAATAAATAATCAAAATATTCAATTAACATATGTGATTTGCACTTGTATGAAACTCAAACACGTATTCCGAATATACAAACTAGAAACATGTGGATAAATATTATAAATATGAATACCTATAACTGTTACTTTATTACAAAAAATAAAGATGTGGTTTTTGGTTCTACTACACCAATGGTCAAGAGATGGCGTTGTAGTCTCCTGAATCGCGCTTTGGTTCCGTTGTTCCAGATTAATAAATACTTTTGATATTATAAATATGAATACCTATAACTGTTACTTTATTACAAAAAATAAAGATGTGGTTTTTGGTTCTACTACACCAATGGTCAAGAGATGGCGCTGTAGTCTCCTGAATCGCGCTTTGGTTCCGTTGTTCCAGATTAATAAATACTTTTGATAGGCCTTCACAATGCAGTCGTTAGCACCCACTAAATAGAGATTCTATTTCTATTGTGTTGGTAGATTTTCTTAATGTGCGGTAAACACAAAAGTAACGCATGAAGCATTCATGCTGTTAAAATTTTGTGTTACAGTGATGCGCGCGCATCTTAAAATTTCACTCTCATCATTTTTTCATAACGCGCCTAAAGAAGTATAACTTCAATAAAAACTACTAATTGATACACGAACTAAACTTACTCAACACAAAGAAGGATAATGTACGTTTAAATCAAGGTATCATGTTAAACATTTGAACAAGTAGTTCCGCTTCTATGATTTTTTAAAACATCAAACCGCGATATCTCAAAACACTGTTGTGAACCCTTTTGTTTGTGACGTGGGATTGATTTGTCTTTAGTCGTGTTCAAGATCTTTATGAGCAAATATCCTGTTTGGCTATCTCAACAAAGCGAAGTCTTTCATCCATGAAAGTAACCAGCCTAGTCTATAACTAGCTTTATAATTTTCCTTGTTGGCAGCACTGTTGTGAGACATCAATGTCAATATTGTCAGTGAGTTGTCAAACGAAATTGTCTATTCCTTTTCCTGTATAAATTTGCCCTGAGAGGTTGGTTTCGTGTTGGTTGATTAATATCCGTTTATATCAGAGAAAGTTCTTCATATTTATCTTAATCTAATTATGCAGTGTACAATTTCCGTGTTATCTTTATGTCCATCCTTATATTTTTACGGTTCAGTGATAAATTCTGCAGATCAAAATTATAACCTATCTGGTGATTGAACTGAGCCGCTCTGTTTCAGAAGCAAAATGGGTCGTTACTCTCGGGAACCAGATAACCCAGCTAAGTCATGCAAAGCTCGTGGCTCGAACCTTCGTGTTCACTTCAAGGTAATATAATGTTCTACTGTTGACCCGAACAATTCTCCACATGGATTGTTTACTTGCCATTTAGGCCAAAGTTTGTGTCTAAAACTTACACTTACTTCGTGTTCGTAATGATTTACTTTATTTATTGATTAATATCAGTAATAACTGTAAACGTACGTAATGATTTTAGTACATTTTTGTAGTAATATCTTATTTCATTTCAGAACACCTATGAAACAGCAATGGCAATTAGGAAACTGCCACTTCGCCGTGCTGTCCGTTACCTTAAAAATGTTGTTGAGAAGAAGGAATGCATTCCTTTCCGGCGCTTCAACGGTGGCGTCGGTCGTTGTGCACAGGCTAAGCAATTTGGAACCACACAGGGACGCTGGCCCAAGAAATCTGCAGAGTTCCTTCTCCAGCTTTTGAGGAATGCTGAATCTAATGCTGACTATAAAGGTCTTGATGTCGACAGGCTGGTCATTGATCACATTCAGGTTAGTGCCCTATTTTAATGTCAAGTGTATAACTTAATTTAGTAACAAGTGTGAGATTGGTGGAAGCTGAGTTCATAAAGTTTATTACAATATCTTATGTGGTAAAAGCATTATTAATAAGTGCTCAATATTTTCGAACAAGTATATATAATCAGCATTTACTGATCCCAAGCTTACAAAATTTCTGATGATAATTTTTAAATAATATTCAAAATGTTTTTCTTATAAAATTGTTGCTTCTGATAGTATCACTAAATCAAATGTAAATTTTAAAACTACTAAAACATTGAAGGATACAGCAGTTAGTCTGTAATCTTATTTATGAGTTTTCTGTAGAATTCGAACACTGATTTTAAATTGCCTTTATTTGCTTGACAATGTGTTTCTTTATTATGTGCACATTGTTTTCATAAGGCAAAAATAAATAGTAACATATTTTTCATAATGAGAAAATACTTGTTTTTCTGTTCATTGTGTTACTTACATTTTTCGTCCTATTGTTGCAGTATAGATAGATATTAATTCAAATATAAATCCAACTGATCAGCCAGCCTATTCGCTAACTTTTTTGACATTTACAATGTTAACTGAAGAGCTAAGTATTGTGAATATTACATTGCCTAAGTAACAAATATGCTTATAAAATTAAAATCACTGCACCAAACTGTATTAAATTTTTATGGCATCAAATGACAACTATTCCATATCAAATGAAAAAAGAATCACATAATTCGGATTGGAAATTTCAAAGTAAATAAGTATATTAGTGTACATACTTACCTCACCATGGGGAGAATTAAAAATAGTATAATCATTAGATAGATAACCATAACCAACAATATTTATATTGTTTTGAGTATTTAGGTTTGTTTACATCCTAAGTTTTTAATGTTGTCTTATGTTAGTGATGGCAAACCTTCAGGTTATAGGGTGTGTTCCGTTATATAAAACAGTATACTAGCCAGTGCTAATGATGTCAAGAATCGACGCCATGCTGTTGATTCGTTCCAAACTTTCCAAATACACTGATCAGCTCGGTGATGTCATGAACTTGCGCAATATTTAAGCAGTCTTGTGTTTGTGTGCAACATTCATGCTTCAAAAATTATAATAATTTATTATAATTATAAAGTAACTTTATTATAAAGTGTGTAAATCTTGTTATTCCCTTCATCGATCAAAACTAATGTTTCTGTTTGTTGAGATTTCATTATTATCAATTTAATAAAAAAAGGACCTTCACTAACTGCAGAGCGTATACACCCAGGTATTACACGTCACAGTATTCTCACCAGCATAATATGGCGGCACACCAGCACAATATGGCGTCGAAATCTTGACGTCATTACCACTGGCCAGCGTACTGGCTTAAGTTTCGGGACACACCCATAAAGATGCCATCAAATAATTCTGACTTTATTTATATTATATATAAATAATCAACTTTACTACGTACATTTTGCAATGTGTGACTTCTGTTGTTGCAGATTAGATGACAAAATATTTAGTGTTGTAAGATGTTACTTAATGCATAATGAATTTTGTGTATAGAGACATGCCCAAAATATTGTGTTGCATGCCATTGGTTCAATATCCCTGTCCTATGCCCTATTGGTGTAGCTGTAAAAATCATTATATCTACACACATCAAAAGTGTCTAGGGATCAAGCATTTTTATGCGGATTTCTTGAGATTGAGATGTAGCTTTGTAATAAATTTATGATTTTATAAATTTATATGGATCCTTTTTGGTGCATTTCATAATTTGAATCAGGAACTGTGAATCAAATTCGAGTAAAAGATGAAAATCAGCTGTCAATATTTTCCCTATAAAAACATACAACGCATTGAAGACATTATTAGTGCTACTGTTTCCCTACTACTGATTAAAACCAACGTTATTATGGAGCGGCGACGTCATTTAAGCAGGGAAGAAATGCTCAGAGCCGTGGGAATGATAGAAGCTGGTTCCTGGCAACGTACTGTGGCTTTAGCTCTGAATACAAGTCAGAGTGTTATCAGTCGACTTTGGACACGATACCGAAGCACTGGTACCGTGGCTGAGCGCCATGGAGGACGGTATCGCTGCACCACACGGAGACAAGACCGATACATTCAAATCTTAACTCGAAGAGCTCCAACAATAACCGCCATGATGTTAGCCGTGAGGCTTCATCACTCTTCAGGGAACTTAATTAGCGACCAAACAGTCAGAAACCGCTTGCATGAAGTGAACCTTCATTCCCGAAGACCGCTACGGGTACCACCTATAGCAATGCACAATCGTAGGATTCGATATCAATGGGCTCTTGAACACAGAAATTGGGCAGAAGAACAATGGCGTTTCGTGTGCTTATCTGATGAGTCTCGTTTTGGTATGAGACCGGATACAAGACGTATACGACACTGGAGAACCCCTGGACGCCAACAGCGATTAAAATCCTGCCAGGAAGTCCATCCTTATAGTGGTGGAACCATCATGGTATGGGCGGGTATTTGGATCGGCGGAAGAACTGAGTTGATTTGGATCAGAGGCAACCTCAACGCTCAAATTTATGCTGAGACGATTGTATCAGACGTCATCGTTCCTCTACAAGTGCAAATCGGTCCCTTATTTCAGTTAATGCATGATAATGCACGACCGCACACCGCAAGAGTTGTAAGACAGACTCTCGCCGCAGCTAACATCAATGTCCTGCCCTGGCCTGCTCAGTCGCCAGACTTGAACCCGATTGAGCATGCATGGGATATGCTACAGAGAAGAGCTCTGCCGAATATGGAGGGTATCCAGTCGCAAGAAGACCTTTTTTTGTTGTTGCAACAAACATGGGCGGCCATTCCACAGCGTGATTTGGATGAACTCATTTTGAGTATGCCAAACCGATGTTCTTGTGTTGTTAGTGTTCGCGGTAGAAATACGGATTATTAATTGTTTAAGTTACCCAATAAAATTTTAGAGAAAACTGTTATTTCAGTCTTTTTTTCGAACTTTTGTGTTAGTGGTTCAAATGTCAAAAATCCCTTTATTAGGAAAATGGCAAATTTCTTTATTAATGCAAAGGTGACTTGGTTTATCGTTACTGTGACAAACGAAAACACTTTATTTGATGAATCCTTAAAGAAAATTTTAATTAATATCAATCAGGAGAAAAGTTATTGCAAAAATATATGTTGATCCCTAGACACTTTTGATGTGTGTACTTTAAAGGCCAATTTGAGTTATGAGCACTTAAATTATTTTAGAGAGCTGTTGTTTATTTCATGTTTACTAAAGGAAGTAAACATGAAATAACTGAATGATTGGTGTGAGCTATCCCTTTTAGTAGTAGGCTCCAGTTTAACCGTCGAGTTTAACCTCTGGAATATAAATGGTAAAGTTGCAGATTAAAATAAAATCTGATAAGTAATATACAGTTTAACCTCTGGAATATTATGGGTAAAGTTGCAGATTAAAATAAAATCTAATAACTAATATTTATGTCAAACTATATGAGTATTCTTCCTTTTTTATTGACTACATTGTGTCTACCAACATTTTTGCCAATATCTGCTAGGTGGACAAACCACCTCATTCATCTCTCAGTGCAATTTGACAGTTATATGTTTGAATTATGTTGCATGATCTATTAACTTTTTTCATGACCAGTAGTTCTCGTACATTTGACTGGTTGAGACAATGAGATTAATATAATAATGATGACAAACCTTTTTCACCCCATTCATTAAAAATAGGTTTTGGAAAACTATTTAAAGTCCAAGATAAGCACAATTTATACTTTGGCAACTAAATCACTTATACAGTACATGTACTTTGATGTTTATGTACATAAGCTACCACTCTGGGTCAAATATTCCTGCTAATTATAAAATAATGCTCCTACTGGAATTCAAACCCAAGACATTTTTTGGCCAAAGACAGAAGCGATGCCACTGCACCAACTGGTTGTTCAACAGCATTAATAAAGCAAAGCAGCAAAGATTCTGAATAACTAGCTCCAATTATAACATTTTTATCTCTCACAAGCCTGTAAGGAATAATTTGTAAGATGAATATAATTTCGTGTGCATCATCGTTTTGACACTTTCATAATTATACCTTTTTGTCACTAGTGACCAACCAGCTCTTTCTTTGCTTTAGCGAAGATGGTGATAGATTTTGTTCTCGGGGCAGAGGCCCAAGCACCAATTTTTGATGGCCCTGTAAGGTATCATCATCATTATATAAATTTTGTATGGAATGTTCTTATGTACGATGGGACACTAATTAGTTTTCATAGAAACTGACCTTTCTCTTGAATCACTGTATTAATATCCGCTGCATAGTTGACAAGATGTAAGCGTACATATAGCGGGAGTACGGGAGCGACTTTGTTTTATACACAGTAAAGTGGATGGTGCCAAGTTGTGATAAATGTATCCATTTTCAGGTAAACCGCGCCCCCTGTCTACGCAGGCGTACGTATCGCGCGCACGGTCGTATCAACCCCTACATGTCGTCTCCCTGCCACATCGAGGTATGCCTCAGCGAGCGGGAGGACGCCGTCGCCAGGGCAGCGCCCGCGGACGACGCGCCCGCCAAGAAGAAGTTGTCTAAGAAGAAGCTGGCTCGCCAAAAGGAAAAGATGATGAGAGAATAGATATGTAAGGGTTAATAAATGACTTCAAAAAAGTGTAGTGTTTTATTAGGTACTAGCTTTTGCCCGCGACTTCGTCCGCGTTATCGTCGTTTTTCGTAAAAAAGTAGCATATGTCCTTCCTCAGGGTTCCGTGGTTTTGATGAGACAGACAGATTAACTTTCGTATTTTAGTAGGGAAATATAATACTGTTAAATATATCGCAATAAGGAACCGCAGAATATTATTATTATCACTGTGCCCCGAGACCATCAGCGAGTAACTCCTTGTATGTTATTATGTTAATGTATTGGTAATATTGTTTAGATCGCTTTCACATGAGTCACAAGTACATATAGAATGAAAATACTTCAGCGCAAAGCTTCCGCGTAGACTTCGTTGAAATTTGACCCGTCCGGAACGTGAACATAAAAAATTCTAGGACTGCTAACCCGGGAAAGACCGACATAACTGACCATGTGAAAAACAACTGACACCGAGATCTACTCCAACAACACGAAAGGTCTGCCCTTGAGCCTTATTTATTGTCATTGCATAACACACCGATACTGGGAATTGCGTTCTTTTAAATTGGAATGGAAAATTATTTGGTATTATGGGAATTCTGGGAATAAAGATGGTTTCTCCTGCACCGCAACCTATTAAAATTTGAGCCTCGATTACATTTTGTTGCAACTGGGTTACTTTAAGCCGAGTTCCATTGCAAATTTGTGGTGGTCTTAAATTTCGGAGCAGAGTAATCGGAATGCCAATTTTTAAACAAATTTCATGAGAAGGAAGTACGGGCATATTTAAAGAATTTAAAAATTCTATCGGGTAATTAGTGGCTTCTTGTTCATCGGCCATTCTATTTATTGAACTATAAACTTTGCTTTCCCCCTGGATATTCGACAGTATTTTATTATTAATCTCAGATGCCTGGTCATTGCGAGGAGTTAAAATGGACCTTTCGCATAGCCAAGATTTGTTCTTATTCAATATATTTGTTACGTCACCGTAAACTGACGATGTAAGATGTTGTTGGGATTGCACTATACAACATAACTCAGGCGTCAGAATAAGTTTTCCTTGGTGTAGCAGTGGATAGGTATCTTTGGTGAAGGTATTTTCTTTAATAATATATCAGAAAATTCACGATCATCCGGGTTATCTACAGTTCTCACTCGCATGTTTATAGTCAAATGCACCGATTGTATATCACGCCACAAATAAGAGCTTTTCAGGCAAACCCTAATCTCAGCAGCTCGGGTTCCCCGTGGTATTACCGTTAAGGTTTGTCGGAAATCACCACAAAATAAAACTGTGATACCGCCCATGGGTCGATCATTTAGTCTTATATCTCTTAAAGTTCTGTCTACCGCTTCTACTCCTTTTCGATGGGCCATCGTACATTCATCCTATATGATTAAATTACACTTTGAACGAATATTTAAACACTACTAAAACAACTAATACGTGGTCCTAACTTTAGCTACCTTACACATAAAATCTAAGTGACTATTTGAACTAAAATATTCCTATAGAATTATAACCAGAAATATATACAACTCACAACAAAAAAGAAATGAAAATAAAGCTGAAACGCCTGTGCAATACTATCTACCTATACCTCCTTCACTTAAAAATAAATACTTTAATTAATAAAAGTACCTACACTTAATAATTTTTAATTTGAACGAATATTTAAACACTACCAAAGCAACTAATACCTGTTTTACAAAATAACAACAAAAGAAATTCAAATAAACTATTTAAAGACTAAAAGTCGCGCTGATAAGCACGGTTTCGGTCTCCCAGGCGGGGGAGCAGATGAGAAATCCTCATGGATACCCTACAGCCGGCTGCAAGGTTATGTCAGACTCGTACTGACTAAAAACACCCGTAGGGGCTGCCTCTGGCCGGGAAGGCCTCTAAGGCTTCATCGGAAGCGATCGTCCCCCAGGGGGGAGCGACGCAGAAAACAGATTTAGACAGCTCGCTCTCGGACCTTTGATACCCTACCGCTGCCGCGACCCGTGTCGAGCGCGGCAACCGTTACACAAAAGTAATCCTTATAGCATGATTCAGTATTCACGTGCGACGGCGCGATGGCTTATTTCATGTATAAGTTTGGTGTTTCTATACCGAGTATTATAAACGTAAGAGTAAACAAATATGATCAGAATGCTCCGAACTGCTAAGCTATCGGGAGTTACACGTGTTATTGTGAGTCAACCATAAAAGATAGACATATGCTGTTGCGGGATATTTTTTAGACAATTTTATATAGAATATTTCCGTCATACATGATTTCTATGTAACTTTAATCATTAAGGCTGCACACGCGACGGAAGCTTAAAAAATGGAGTAACTTCTCCCGTTTTCCCAACATTTCCCTTCACTACTCTGCTCCTACTGATTGTAGCGTGATGAAAAGTATACTATAACCTGCCCAGGAGTATGAAGAATAATAGTACCAAGTTTCGTTAAAATCCGTCGAGTAGTTTTTGTTTCTATAAGGAACAAACACACAGACAGACAGACAAAAAATTTACTGATTGCATTTTTGGCATCAGTATCGATCACTAATCACCCCCTGATAGTTATTTTAAAAATATATTTCATGTACAGAATTGACATCTCTACAGATTTATTATAAGTATAGATGAGTCACTAGCGGCCGCCCGCAACTTCGTACGCTTGGAGGTAGTTAGAAATAAAAGTTCACTGCTCGTTCCCCATAGGTGATAGCGTGATAATATGTAGCCTATATGTTGACCCGACTTCTTAATAATATTCGTGCCAAATTTGAAGTAAATCCATGCAGTCCTTTTTGACATTATCCCGGACATACATACGAACAGACAAAAATTCTAAAAACTATATTTTTGGCTTCAGTATCGATTGTAGATCACACCACAAGTATTCTTTTTAAAAAAATATTCAATGTACAGTTTTGACTTTCCTACCATTTTATTATATGAATAGATAAAGAGCCTTTATTTAGTTCTACTTGTCTCGGACTTCCACCATCAGTCTATTAATGCCTCCACGGCTGGCATAGGATGGAATAGGGAGATTACGTCATGCATAACCCACAAGCAGGCCCGGTAGGATGGGTGCTAACCAACTAAGAATTCTGCCGAAATCAACGACTTTACAGGGACCGAACCCAATTACGCAACGTTGCGTTTTTTTTATTATTGCACTAATAAGGCACTGTTTATTAGCATAAGTAACAACCTCAAACTAGATTTGGGGTACGCTAGCAAGACGGACACGTAACACATTTCAGCAGGAAAAGTAACGAAAGGTCCATTTTCTTTATAGTTTAGATTGGCATGAATGATAATCCTTTCGTGTCTTGACTTCCTTAGTCCTTCCTTCATCTTCATTTGTTTCTGGCTTATCAGTACCAAGTACTCTTGCCAGTTCTCAATCGCTCGCTCACTATTTGGATTATGTATATAAATCCGAGAAGAGCTCGATGACGCAAATGGTTAGCGCTTTTGGCTGTGATATTTGAAGTTAAGCAACTTTCGTAGTGGTCGGTCATCAGATGAGTGATCAAAAATTTTCTATCTCTATTTCCTTCTTGCTTGGATAGGCACGTAAAGCCATTGGAGCCGGCTGCATCTGCTATACTGCCCAATCTCCCTATTCTATCGATAGGGAAGGCCTGTGCCCCAGCAGTGGGCACTCGAATATGTCTCATCATAATAGGCTGATGATGAGACATATCCGAGATCTTTTTCAATGCTGTAAATCTAGCACAACTATTTCGTTTACTACCGGAAGTAATACAGTCATTTGGTAGTTTTACCTGGAAAGTTTTCCGGGAGTTTTGAAAATTGGTAATTGTATAGATTTTGAGGTGCTCTTTCCGAATTTCGACTTTGTCGCTCGCGCCGCCATATTGGAAAAATGGCGCCTAACCTAAAAGCAGTTTTTGACATCTATTTCCGATTCATTTTACGGTACAAACAGTTAAATACAAAATGAAACTAGAGGCAATAGGCTAGTTTACTCATGTCGAATTGTATTAACTAAATGTTTATTTCTTGAAGTGTTTAGTCTAAGGAACCCTAATATATCGATTCCACTTCATAAAAGCAGAAGATTGCTGTAGAAATTTAATTTTAAAAAATATTTTTTATTCTATATTTTTTAAACACTAAAAACGCTGTTCGCCACATTCGCCATGATTTTGACGTCTCTTGTGGTAAACAACTAAATGTCATTCGCGTGTTACTGTAGGTGGATTCTTTCGTCTGACTAAATTTATCTTAAAACACTTTTAACTTTAGGAAAGAAAAAAACAGTAAACTTAGTTTTTTTTGACTAAACAAATTATGGATGCCGGCTTTGTGAAAGCAGAAACCACAAATCTGCCAAGAATTGACGCATTGATGGTTGGTGAATTTGTTGCACTAAACCCCGATTTCTGCTCTGCGGAGCAGAGAAACGACAAGGCATCTATGTTAGTACAGTGCATATAGTATTACAATGTAGTAATAAACATAAAACTGATACAACATATGAATAAGTGTAATAAAGTTGCGTAGGTTAATTTCTTTCGGCACTTTAATCAACAACTTTCCTGGAGTCTTCAAGGATGTGTTTTTATATTCTCGTACAATACAGTAATGATAATTACTTTATTTTTCGTGGTATTTATTAGAAATCATTTTTTTTTTATTATAAACTCAGTTAAAAGTAATTTTCTACGTGTTTACGAGTTTTTGTTTACCACAGTTCCAGTGTGACCAGATTAAATTTTACGAAAATACCGAGGCACCTCAAAAAAATACTGAAATATACCGACTTACATAGGACAGATATACCAATCAAAATACTGATTTTGTTAACACATTTTATTTATTCATACGTACTCACAATAAATGTTAGAGTTTTATTTTAACATCCTTTTCGAAGGATTAAAATTTACACAACCTCCTTCATTTCTTCATGCTCTATCTAATAGTGCAAACCGCATTAAAATCGGCCCAGCAGTTGTAAAGTTTTAGGCGAACATACATTCTGCAAGTCCGATTAATACTATGTATTGATTGATAATTGTATATGTAGTATTACAATACTACAACGCCGACAACGGTCGTCTTTCTTGTCATATCTGTAATTTACTCATAGATAACATGTATAAGTATAGGTAAACTAAATCCGGGGAAGTCCCCAATTGTCGCAAAGACGATCACTCACTACGGTGTTGCCATAACTTCTACCAAAATATACCCAAAAATACTGACTGCCAGCAATATACCTGAAAATATACTGATGTTCTGAAAAATCTATGAAATATACTGAAAAAGTATTAAAATACTGAATCTGGTCACACTGCACAGTTCACGTCATAGCATAGACAATCTATAGACTAAAATGGCCGACAGCGTTTTTGTATGTCCATGAAAAGTCTATTTTAAAATTAAAGATTTGTAGCTTTCTAGGTTTAAAAAAAATACAATACATTTTTTTTCGGTCTAATAGAACATTTATTAACCATTTAAAACCTTTTTCCAAAAAGGGTCAACTAGCCTATTGCCTACAATTTTTATATTACCTTTTTTTCATAGTAGTATTGGCGTACGAGTGTCGCAAAGTGTACTTCAACGCGCGCTTTGGTCATTAGTTCATTACTCATTATTCATGCTTAGATTAAAACAAAAAGGGTAGATAAGGCACTAGCCTCACAAAAGTGATCCGCATAAATTGTGGTCTACGACCCTTTAGTCACAACTTGACATGCAAACGACATACATGTGAACGCCAAAAAGAAATATTGCTAATATTTTGTGTTTATATGATAAAAAAAATGCCTAAGCGTTTTTAAAATGTGTTGAAATTGCTCAAGAACTAAAAATAAAACCCACGGTATCACTTTTCATTCGTAAGTACTATAAAATATATTTTTTCATAAAAATTGCTGTTTGTTTTGAATCTTATTCGGTAGTGACGTCGAGTACTGGTCGCGTGATTGGTCGATAGTGCAGTGACGCGGATCTCGCCGTCTTGTTCGCGCTGCCGTTGAAACTTAACGTGCTGTTTCGTTCGGGTCGGTAATGCAGTGACGCTGGCTCGCCCCGTCCCGTTCGCGCTGCCGTGGGATCAGTTTTTGTTTGATGCAAGTATGAGCGTACCGTATCTACCCTTTTTCTTTTAATGTAAGTATTCATGCAACCTGTGGCATTTAATTTCAACTCATTAATGTGAGTTATAAAATTAATGTATGTGTATACATCAGTATATATATATATCTCTACATATAATATACAGGGCGTCCCACGGCTACCTCACATGGAGGGAAAGTATATTAAATATTGAAGTTATGGGTATTTTTCTGAGGGAAGACATCGTTTTAATTTTAATAATAACTAGAACTGTATTCAAGTATTTTTGAAAAATCGCCTGCTACAATTGGCAATGGAAACTCGTGAAATTTGAAAAAAACACTATGGCCTGTCCTTCGCAGGTTCGCGTCCTCTTTGTGTCGAGCTCCCTTCTCTCTCGTCTACGAAACGTGGCAGATGATGAATTGATGAGAGAAGGGGAGGCAGAGCTCAATAAAAATATTTAGTCTGTGTCATCAGTATACGTCTATGGGTGCGGCCAGAGTGCACTCAGATTCAGATTCAGATTCAGATTTCGAAAACAAGCGCGAGAAATAAACAGTGTAGTCGAAGGGTACGGCCAGATTGCACTCCTGATTTAGATTCAGATTCAGACTCAGAAAACAAAGCGCGAGAAAAAGCAGGCAACCTGCTTAGACTACACTGTTTATTTCTCGCGCTTGTTTTCAGAATCTGAATCTGACTCTGAATCTGAGTGCACTCTGGCCGCACCCTATCGTTTGACAGTGGTGTCAATTCTGGCGTGATTCTCTAAAATTAAAAGTAAATTTAAGGTCAGTTTCACCTTTTCATTCTGTATAGAGAAGGACAAGGATGCACTGTTGTCAAATTTAAGTTTAGCTTTAGAGAATCATGCCAGAATCGACATCAGTGTCGTTTACATTTATACAGCTATGGCTTCTAAGGTTACGGCCAGAGTGCACTCAGATTCAGATTCAGATTCCGAAAACAAGCGCGAGAAATAAACAGTGTAGTCGAAGGGTGCGGCCAGAGTGCACTCAGATTCAGAGTCAGATTCAGATTCTGAAAACAAGTGCGAGAAATAAACAGTGTAGTCTAAGCATGTTGCCTGCTTTTTCTCGCGCTTTGTTTTCTGAGTCTGAATCTGAATCAGGAGTGCAATCTGGCCGTACCCTTCGACTACACTGTTTATTTCCCGCGCTTGTTTTCGAAATCTGAATCTGAATCTGAATCTGAGTGCACTCTGGCCGTACCCGAAGGGTACGGCCAGAGTGCACTCCTGATTCAGATTCAGACTCAGAAAACAAAGCGCGAGAAAAAGCAGGCAACCTGCTTAGACTACACTGTTTATTTCTCGCGCTTGTTTTCGAAATCTGAATCTGAGTGCACTCTGGCCGTACCCTTAGAAGCCATAGCTGTATAAATGTAAATGACACTGATGTCGATTCTGGCATGATTCTCTAAAGCTAAACTTAAATTTGGAAAAATGGCGCATAAAAGCAGATTTTTGACAATATCTCCTTTCCGAGTCATTTTACGATAAAACCAGTTTATACGAAATGAAACTAGAGGCAATTGCCTACAATTTATGTATCTACCTTTTTTTCATAAAGTCTAGTCTTTTTTTCTATAGTTTTGGCGTCCGAGCGCCGCAGTGTACTCCAACGTGCATTTTCCAAAAAAACATTTCCTAATGAAAATGTTAGGCGCGTAGATCGCAGATGTGGTAGAGGAGTCGTGACGTGTCGCTTCCTCTACGCAAAGATCTCACGATTAACTTTTCCTTTATTTCAATCACTTCACTTCCCTAAAATGGATTTTTACAAATAAAACAGTTTACTGCATTAGGGTACGGCCACAGTGCACGCTGGTTCAGAATCAGATTCAGACTCAGAAAACAAGCGCGAGAAATAAACAGTGTAGTTTAAGCAGGGTGGCCATAGTGGCAGCAAGTAACTGGTTGCCCGCGCAGATTTCGGAGTCAGGCACTTTGGGTGCGGCCAGAGCACTCAGATTCAGACTCAGAAAACAAGCGCGAGAAATATAGGGTGCGGCCAGAGTGCACTCAGATTCAGATTCAGATTTCGAAAACAAGCGCGAGAAATAAATACTGTAATCGAAGGGTACGGCCAGAGTGCACTCCTGATTCAGATTCATCTGGAATAACTGGTTGCCCGCGCAGATTTCGGAGTCAGGCACTTTGGGTGCGGCCAGAGCACTCAGATTCAGACTCAGAAAACAAAGCGCGAGAAAAAGCAGGCAACCTGCTTAGACTACACTGTTTGGGTGCGGCCAGAGTGCACTCAGATTCAGATTCTGAAAACAAGCGCGAGAAATAAACAGTGTAGTCGAAGGGTACGGCCAGATTGCACTCCTGATTCAGATTCAGACTCAGAAAACAAAGCGCGAGAAAAAGCAAGCAACCTGCTTAGACTACACTGTTTATTTCTCGCGCTTGTTTTCGAAATCTGAATCTGAGTCTGAATCTGAGTGCACTCTGGCCGCACCCTTTATTTCTCGCGCTTGTTTTCGAAATCTGAATCTGAGTGCACTCTGGCCGCACCCATAGGGTGCGGCCAGAGTGCACTCAGATTCAGAGTCAGATTCAGATTCTGAAAACAAGCGCGAGAAATAAACAGTGTAGTCGAAGGGTACGGCCAGATTGCACTCCTGATTCAGATTCAGATTCAGACTCAGAAAACAAAGCGCGAGAAAAAGCAAGCAACCTGCTTAGACTACACTGTTTATTTCTCGCGCTTGTTTTCGAAATCTGAATCTGAGTCTGAATCTGAGTGCACTCTGGCCGCACCCATACAGTGTAGTTTAAGCAGGTTGCCTGCGGCCACTATGGCCACCCTGCTTTAACTACACTGTTTATTTCCCGCGCTTGTTTTCTGAGTCTGAATCTGAATCTGAGTGCACTCTGGCCGTACCCAAAGTGCCTGACTCCGAAATCTGCGCGGGCAACCAGTTACTTGCTGCCACTATGGCCACCCTGCTTAAACTACACTGTTTATTTCTCGCGCTTGTTTTCTGAGTCTGAATCTGATTCTGAACCAGCGTGCACTGTGGCCGTACCCTAATGCAGTAAACTGTTTTATTTGTAAAAATCCATTTTAGGGAAGTGAAGTGATTGAAATAAAGGAAAAGTTAATCGTGAGATCTTTGCGTAGAGAATTTCAGAAAGAGCACCTCAATATTTATAAAGGAATTGCTTAAGATCTGCAAGAAATTCTGTAAATGAATTACTTTTAGCAATATTGCACAATTTGACCTTTTTAGGTCCCCTGTTCTCTTCGATCGACAGTTCTCTACAGAATTGTTGATCGAAGATTTTATTTAAAAGAAATATGCATTGAATAATTGATCGTTTATTTGGACAGGTTTATCACACGAAAGGAAAGTATATTATATATTTAAGATAGGATATTTCACTGGAAGAAGACATTTTTTTTAATAATACCTACCTAAGTAACGGGAAAACGGGAATCAAACTCCTGATATCAAAATAATAAAGCAATACTTATACAAACCTAGCACCGTTTCTTTTTTACTGTAGTTGTGTTCAATTATTAAAAAAAAGTCAAATATCGTGATTTTTAAAATGCTATGTTATTTAGGAAAAATAATCCTTATGATTAAAACTATCGATGGTTATCATAAAACACATCATGTTTTTTTTTCAAATATTACGAGTTCTTGTTATTATAAAAAATAAAATGTCTACTTCCAGTAAAATATCTTATCTTCAATATTTAATATAGGTACTTTCCCTCCGTGTGACAAAACCGTGGGAACCTCTGTATAATGACATGAGTCGTCGCTCATAGTAACGCCATAGAAATATCACGTACGCATATATTTTATGATGTAGAATAAAGCTGCTATAGAGGACTCCTTCAATGAAACACTTAATATTCTCCAAACCATTTATTTTTAATTCAAAATAATCTGTACCATGAAGAAAAATGAAAAGCTAAGGCTTACATTAAACATCTACAATACTTAAGGTCGGTAGGGACCTAAGACGACAGTTTCTTTACTTACACGGGAAAAATACGAGAAAGTGATATTTCAAACTAGACATCTACAGATTAACCTACATAAATCTTCTTGCTTCTGGATACAAACAACTGAAAATTAAAACAAGTCCATTGTTAGTTTATTCTAACAGCATATAATAATATACATTAACATCATTTTATTAAAAGAAAACGAAACGTCGAGAATTAACAAAGTAAATCTAAAACATTTGTTGTATTTTTTTCTGGACAAAGATATTTGATGATATTAAAGAAGCAGATCGCTACGTAAAAAGGAAAGATCAGTCCATCTTTATAATACCTCATGAAGGATAGGAGTAGTACATAAAATATGTATAAGTATTTAAAGAAGCTTTTATTTAAAAAAAGAAAAAGCCTTTTTGTATTTGTTACCCATAATAAAGGGGTTGAAAAAGTCCGCCAACTTATAACGGCGTCTATACTGAAATAATTAATTGAGTATTGCATTTGTAGGTACTTTCAACAGAACTAAAAATGTATGCAAAGTTTCAGCTCAATCGGATACCATACTGGCAGGTGGTGGTCGAAAAATTTCGGTTTGCAAATTTCGAAGAGGACAACTTACAAACGAATGCTAGTTAAAAAAATGCTTGTAAAAATTAATGCAGATGAAATGCGCATTGTTGCAATAAATTGGGGTGTCACTTATACCCAAAAATAAGACAAAATTAAAGACTCAAATTAAAAAATCTCGAATAAATAGTGTTAGAAAAAATAAAAAATAAATAATTAATGATGAGAAGAAAGAATACATGAATTGAATGAATACTCAGAGACAAAAAATGTGGAAGAATATCACAGAAATAAATGGAAGAGAATACGCTGTTAGTTTTAACGAAATAAATATACATATATCAAATACACTTAGGTGAGTTTGCAAATGCATAATGAAGTAAGGAATGTTATTAACAGCAGTATTCGCCGTTAAATTAGACTAACTGTTATAAACAGCAGTATTTGCTGGTAAATCAGAATAACTTCACTGTTATAAACAGCAGTATTGGTAAATTAGACTAACTTCACTGTTATAAACAGCAGTAAATTAGTCTAACTGTTATAAACAGCAGTAGTCGCTTGTAAATGAGACTAACTGTTATAAACAGCAGTATTCGCTGGTAAATTAGACTAACTGTTATAAACAGCAGTATTCGCTGGTAAATTAGACTAACTGTTATATACAGCAGTATTTGCTGGTAAATCAGACTAACTTAACTGTTATAAATAGCAGTATTCGCTGGTAAATTAGAACTCAACTGTTAGAAACAGGAGTATTAGCTGGTATATTAGACTAACTTAACTGTAATAAACAGAAGTGTGCGCTGGTAAAAACAGCAGTATTCGCTGGCAATTAGCTAGAATTAGAGCTGAAGTAAAGTATACGAATCATATTTCATGATTGAATACAAAATATTCAAGAAGGAAAGTAAGATAAATAATGATATTTTGGTATATAGTTACTCAATAGTAGGTGGTGAAACACTTCAACAAAATCAAAAATTGTGATTATGCAGGTCAATTCTTAATTAACGTGATGCAAACAAAACTTTAATTTTCCTAAACGATAAATCTTCATTTATCATAACTTTATGCTGGTTTATTTAATTAAAACTCACTACCTCATAAAAATGACTCTCGAGAAGTTTAGCGTTGTTTAATTTCACACTACCTACACATAAAACTAAAATTAAATATGAAAGAACAGTGGGGACATTAATAGGCTGATGATGATGAAAGAGCACAAGTTATTTTTTATTCCATATTGTCAAGTAATATTGTAATCCGAACATGCTAATCGTTTATTTGCTGGTATTTTAATAGTGCCATAATACACAATTTGCGTGAATGACCTTATAGTTTTTATCAGCGCCATCTAGCAGATAACATGTCTCGGTGAGATATGTATCAAGGAAGGGAGTATGAATCATGTAAATACATAATTTTCCAATGGCGCTGTAAATATCACACTGTATCCACTAATTATAAACAGTACTAAGATAATCTAGTAGATACTGAGTACTGACAAAATTCATTAAAGTTAGCAAAATTACAATCATTAAACTATCCGATGAGAAGGTGACTAACTGCCCATCCATTTAGAGATAATGTTAAGACCGTAATACATGTAAATAAAATCAGTTTGACAAACACTGAATTGGATACGATACGTCAAAACTTTGAAAAATAAACGTGGAAGCACTCCCAAATGTATTGCAAAAAACCAAATAAAATTCAGTGTATCACATTATTAATCTACATACTTACCAATGTTATTTGAAATAGGTTCGGTGTTTAAAAAAAAAGGATCAAAGATTCAAAATAGAATACCTTGACAAAACTCATAATTTGAGTAGGTATATACCCCGAAAAACTTCATGAGCAACGAGCATAGACAAGGAAGCCACTGCGCAAGCAACTTTACATACAATAGCGTCTACTGCGCATGCAAGTTTATTTGTCTGTGGTTTTGCTCAAGAAGTTTGCCATTACATATACCTTCTTTACTTACTTTCTTTATCAGTTTTATATAGCGCTATGAAGCCAACCTCCCAATGCCTACTGTTTCATACTAACACTTAAATTAAAAAAATATATATACAGTCGAATACAGATCCTCCTCCTTTTTTGAAGTCGGTTAAAAACACAAGTAACGCAACAGTTATGTCGCGTTAGCCTGATAGTCTTTCACAAAAGTCTTAGACTGAAAACAGCCAATAAAATTAGATGGTTGAAAGACTGCACATAAAAATGTAGCACCTATACAATTCGTTAGACACCATTTTCAGCTGTTGCAATTACCTTAGGGATAAGTTAGCCAATATACAACTTACGGTCTTTCACAACAAGGTTGGCTCCCCTTTTAATAGACCGGAGGTCCAAGCACGAAAGGACAATGGCGAACTCCCATACAAATTTTTGTTGAAATTTTTTTTTGCGTCTTTGCATGTTAAATCGTAGAGTTTCGATTCTCGATTTGATTCGTCTTATTTCTTTTATTATAGGAAGTCTGGATTTATAGATATTCTACTTTGAAGTTTTGGAGGTTATGTCATACTAAGTAATACAAAAACGAATTATTAAAGTATTTTCAAGAGTATTTTTATATCAATATAAAAGTATACGGGTCCCGTAGATTAGTGACGAAAAAAAATGTTTTTTATAATGTATGATCAGTGTGCGTAGGTACCTACTTACTGACCAACCGCGTCAAAATACTTAATAATACTAAACAGACCAGGGTTATTTAGTTCGAATACAATATCTGTGCTGTAAGGAGTACTTAACAATTTGAAAATGACCACAGCAATAGTCAAGTATAAAAAAGGATTTCTAGTAGTGTACTGATGGGATATTAATTAAATATGAAACACTTTTTTATATATTTTTTATTCCATATCTTTGATCACAGTATCGTAGATAGTAGATACAATGAAATAAAATCCACAGTATGGGACAGAATCGTGTCCAAAATCCACAGCAAGAAGTCGTCCGAAATATCAGATTCTGAAGCCTTAGGCAAGCACTACTCAACAGTCGCAGGGAAGATTTCAAGAGTCCAAATGCAGTCCAAGTCACATAAAAACACAAATCACAGAAAAAAAACACATTGCGCCTATTTAAATCGTTGCAATACGCATGCACTTAGCACAAGCAACGATAATGTTAACAATAACGACAACAATTCGATGACAAGCATGACAGTGACGGTTAATTGTTTCAGTATAATGTTGAAAAATAATGTTTCCCGATATTTTTGATAGATAATTCGATACAGTTTAAGCGTAAAGCGATGCAAAACATACGCACAACATATTTAAAGTTGATTTCATCACTAAAATCACATGAAATAAATGGCTCAAAAGCCATGATGCCAAGCCACAATAATAATAAAAAATAAATAGTCAATTGTGTTTCCCTTTTTTTAAGTTTTTAATTCCAGACTTAGACAACCCTCCTGAATTGTTCAGTAAATCTTTTGAGATTATTTTATTAACATTTCTGATAATGACATCCTTAGACGCTAATGATTTACTTCAACAAATATTTCGCCATTGTCCTTTGACAGCTCCATTATCTCATCGCATCGGGAAAGTTTCTATGAAAACTAAGCAGTGCTCCCAAACTGGCTGCTTCCAAAGAAAATTTTACAATGACGATACGATTACTGTACCTACTGTCAAAATTCGTGCTTGAACCTCAGCTTACCAGAGCTATGTTCGCTAGATATTAATATTAGGCCCTTACATATGAAATTCGCGTTTTGTATGGGAGGAATATGAAGTCATTTTTTTTGTAAAATATATTTAATTAATTAAAGTTGTTATCATCCGTTCAGTTGTTATCTATTACTTTTGCTTTTATATTACTAAAACCATGGGGGTGAGAATCAATAAACTCTTTGAAGGCAATTTGGACTGCCGCATCGGAGTTGAATTTTTTTTCTTTGTAAAAAGTTGTCGAAATTCCGATAAAATGGTAATAAAATGAAGTTTTCCATTATGTCATAATAAGCGACGTCAAAGAAAAAATATATGAGGAAAAAAACAAATGACTGTTTTCAAAACTCAAATGTACCAGCTAAACGAATTTATAAACTTGAATTTGGAATTCTTAACCAAAGAGGAGATTTTTCAGATCAAAGTGGTCACTGCGAAAAAACGCTAATTTCATATGTAAGGACCTAATATAAGGAACACTGAGCAACTAAATTATTTTTAAATACTTACCATATGCTTTGCAGCTGAACTCAGATAAGCATATCGACAGTGGAAAAGCAAAATCGCTCAAACACTCACAACACTCATTGTAAATGAGAAATAGCGCCATAACAATAAAAACAAATTTATAAAATACGATTTTCTAAATATCATCTTATTAAAAAGTTACATAGTGTCTTTACTTTGCGAATTAAATGTCGCTTAAGCGAAAATCACTCGGCCCACCATACATTTTTTGTCAAGCAAACATCAAATCATAGGCTTTGGCGTATGGACTATTTGTAGTAGGCGTTAGCGCCATTGATTTAAAAAACAGTAAAATGTATGATGCTTTAGCGCTGTGAACAAGAAAAAACTTAAAAAAAATTGAGTTGCTTAAGCGCAATAAAAGTACTCAAAACTTGATGAACAGATCGATGCAGAAAAAAAACTGCTTAAAATGACATAAATAACTCAATAGCTATGCCCAGCGGTTTATTAGGGATTTTTTCCCACAGTAAAACGTAGCCTATGTGTTAATCCAGGTTGTCAGCTAACTTCATACTAAATGTTATTAAAATCGCACCAGCTGTTTAGACGTGAATAAGTAACAAACACACACACTCACAATCTTTCGCTTTTATAATATTAGTGTGATTTTCGACTAAAGTGGCGTATAAGCGATTTTGCCTTTCCACTGTCGATTATTATCTGTTACTGGGAAAGGTAAGGAAAAGCTGTTGATTGACCTCTAGAACCTGAAGAACTTACCAGAGCACATTTTAGAAGAACTTGACTTCGATCGTCTGCCCATCCACTTTGGAGCGGTCAAAAATTTCTGTATTATTCTCTAAGAAAGTTATTGCGTTTTATTCATAGAAACAGAATATGTTTACATCAATATAGCAGTTGACTCATTATACTAAGGAGTTGTCGTAATATGGGTGTTATTTACATGTTAAAATAAACCAACTTAAACTGCTCTCTTCGCAAAAGTCGAATTAGTAGTCGATATGGGTATAATTCAAGTGTTAAAATACCGCGCTCCTCACCGATTTACCAGTTGACTCATTATACTTAGGAGTAGTCGACATATTGGTTTTATCCAATTGTTAAAATAAACTAACTTCAACTGCTCTTCCCGAATTCGAGTAAAGTCTTTGGTGCCCTGAATACAAGCTAGCGACCAACTGTAATTGTGGCATAAGGCGATATAATATGAAGTTATTCAGGTGTTGTTTCAAAAGGATACTGACACAGCGATCTGCATCGTCGTTGCTCCGGAAGCGTACTATGGCGCGGCCCTGGCCCGTGATCTCGGCGAACACTATCTCCCCTATCTCACGCATTTTGTTGTTCAAAGCTTGAACTGTCACGCTGGGAGGCAACTGGAAGATTGTTTTTTTGAAGTTAATATTCTATTTATACTCTTTTCACATTGGCGTGAGACAAAATGTAAACAAATCATAAAAAGGATACTTTTTAAGGTTACGTTTGACTAAAGTAAAGATATAAATACTATTATTTTAAAAGCTGGTACCTACTTACATATGAATAAGATAATAATATATTTTATACATATTTAACATACATACACATCATAAATTCGTATTTTTTTATTTTGCAGTTAACAGTATTTTAACAACTTAAGTTGACATGGAAAAAGACCTAAAAACACAATCATTCCCAAATTTAAGACGTATTATAATACGACAAAATTTAAGAGTACACATGATATAAGTTTTTACGTTGAAGTGTTGTGTTTTGTAATCGGTTGGCTTACGTTAGCCATCTTTACTCACGATATTATATTCTATCATATTTGTTAAATTCTTGTTATTTCCCTGTTTTGTTTGTTGTAATTTTTTTCTGTTAAGTTTAAAATTGTTAATGAATTATAGGTACCATAAATTACACGTAATCATTGACTAGTGGGTACTTTCTGACATTATAAAAGTTTTAGAACCTCAGATTCTTTGTTTACATTTTGTCTCACGACAAAGTGAATAGACTACAGCTATTAAAAAAAAGACGGAGGTTATTAGGAATTTGCTGTCACGAAAAAGCGTTACGGCCGTAAGGACGGTAGACGATATATAGCGCGGTGAGAGTCAGCCACTTGACCGTTGAAGTTTCACTTCTACTATGTGTCCCAGCATTTTTATATTTTTTCCTTTATTGGGAATAGTTCACAACTAACACATTTACAATATATACTAAATAGTGTTTCTGTTAATCACAATAACAAACATGCAGTAAAATACACTTTGACAGCTTACACAACAAATATTAACAATTAATAGTGAGATATCAAGCAACAACAGTTTAACTAGGTACCTATAATAATCTTGTAATTGGGTCCTATGGTCCTAGGCCCGTACAAATGAGATACTGTTTTCATACAAAACAACATCTTAAGATAGCTTTTAGAGTTGAGAGCTATCTATTAATACGGGCCCTAAACTGTAGAAGAAAACGGTGGTGCAAAATCTGATTATAACAAGCAGTCGTAATTAATGAAATTGAAAATAGTTCACTAATCAAAACGGCTAGTTATAGTTAAAGTTATATTTTTGGTATCTCAAGCGTCTATAGACTATGGTGGCCGTTTACCATCAAGCAGGTCATTATGTTTGTTTGCCAGCCTTTTCGCATAAAAAAATACAAAAAAGCCATAAAGTAAAATTCACTTTAAATTGTTACGTTTGACTTACATTGTTAAACACTAACATGTCTGAGGAGGTCATAGCGTTCCTTTCCTTATCTTCTATTGGTTTGATTTGCCTGTCATCTAAAACTTAAAATTATGCAAATTTAACAATTGTGAGTAATATAATAAAATTATAAATAAAAAAAGATTTATTGTAGCAAGAGATTGTACCTGAATCAAAGCTTGTGCCGTTATTTGAAGTCGACGTCTGTGTATTTGGTCTATTTTGTCCCATTGGCAATATTGGTTGAGCGAAACCACTGACCGCTTTGTTATTGACATTATGTGTTTGCAGAGCGGCCAATGTGGTCGCTAAATCACCACCCATATGCTGCTGCAATAATCCCTGCCAAGACTGAATGTTTGCTTGGCTCTGACTCAAACCAGCTGGAGTTATACCAAATATAGAAGATGCAGAGTTCAAAGGATTCATATTCATTGTGTTAACATTAAGTGGAGTCATAATGTTGTGTAAAGGATTGCCCAAAAGGCTTGAGCTGTTTGCATTGAGCAAGTTAGCTTGAGTTTGTGCCATTTCATGAGATTTCCTCGCTTTCAACTCGGCTAATTCCTGGGACATTAGCTGTTTCAGAGGCTGTATTTCTACTAAGTGCCTTATCCCTTTTAACGGTTCGCCGTTTGGACCCAACCCTGGACCTAAAGATGCGAGTCCATCTGGCAAAGATTGCATATGAGGATGCTGGTCCATTTGTACCACCATACCTCGTCCGTATAGCTCTTGTTGGTGGAACATAGATACTGCCTAGGAAAAACAATAAATTTTCCATAAAATGTATGATTTGTAAACGTTTTCAAGAAGCAATACCCAGTTAGGTAAGTATATCTTAACATAGTTATAAGGAAGAATCAAATTTAGCTTTACCAGAATAGCCTGTTTTTGCATATTCAGTTTTTGTTATTAGGTATTACAAAATTACCTACAACGCTTATTCAGTAACCGATTCTTTTTAATTATTCAAAACTTATGTTGTATTCTTTAGTAAATGTAAATCATGAAATAATTATATGTACTATTAATTACCTGGACGGCCTCAACAGGATGGTCGAATTCTATTTTGGCACTTCTTTTCATCAATTCAGCTTTCTGAGTGGAAGTTGTGATCAAGTATACACTTGTGACGGTGCCGGCAAAACCGAAAACCTCTCTAAGCTTTTCCTTGTCAACTTGAGGTGATAGCTAAAAAATAGTTAACTCACAAAGAAATGGTAATTTTTTACACCAGTAGATAATATGTAAATGGGTTAATATTAAATAGGTAAAAATAATTCATACAATGGAGGCATGCAAAGAAAACGCTTTTGAAAAACCATGAGATACTATCAATGATACATTGTTTTATTTTTTTGTGTCTTCATAATCACAATGTTATAAAAATACATTTTAAGAAAATAAAGAAGAAGAAATTCATCAAAAAATATAATTTTGTTTTTATTACTTAGTTTTCAATTTTTAATAGTACAAAGAATATAAAATTTCGCCATCAAAAGCGTTTTTATCAGAGCCCTTATAAGTTAGAGTGTACATTAACTCTTGTATAAAATATAATCACTTACATTTCCTACAAAAATTTTATTTATCAAAGGAGGCTTGATTCCTAATGAATTTAAGAAATTCATACTCAAACCGTAGGTTTCATTTGTATTTTGATCTGAGGAGATGGTTGTTGTTTTTACTATTTTCTTTTTAGGTTTCATGTCATTTCCTTTTCTGAAACTGAGGAGAATTATTAGAAATTCGCCATAAATAAAATACAATCAATTTGGAGGTTTCAAACAGATTCTAATCTGAGGCTTGAAACAAAAAAATCACAAAGTATGTGACAAAATTTATACAAATTGGCTGTATGGTCACTGTGTTTACTGATTAATTAATAATATTTACTGACAACAGATGTAGTCAGCTGTGTTTAAAAATTCTGGTGCTGGTGGTTTTTGTGGCTTTAAGCCATAAACGGGTTAGTAATTCATAGTTGTAAGTAAAGTATCAGGGAATGTTAATTTAACTATAATCAGTTAACTATAAAAGTCTTAATTCTTGCTACTGTCAGTCCACTGTAGACTTATCGTGGTCCGACTGTATTATAATTCATATTAACCATTGAAATTGAATTTTTACATTTTATCTAAAATTAATAAATAAAAACAAATTATAGCCATATATACAACAATATTAAATACCCTAAATACACCAACACGAATAAAATCGTGCCTGAAACCTGTCCAAAACGTACATTGGACGATCCACGGAGCTCCGTGAGATAATCGCTTAGTCAAAAACAATATAAGGCATTATTTTAACATTGAAATTCACCTTTAACGCATACTGTATAAGGTCTTAATTAAAACGCATGCTTTAAAGAGTTATGATAGTTCGAAATGAAAGCTCTTATTGCTATATGCAGAAGAATATAGACCTTATGTCTTTGACTCTATGTGCAATTCTGAATGCGCTAATAGCAGGTACGGACCGCGAGGAAAAGAGACGGCTATATTATTACCGACTGTATTTGAATAATACAAATATTTTCTATTAAATCAGTTTATAGTAGAACAAAAATTGGTTCCAATGCGTTAAATTAACAAACATTGATTAGATAACTTTAAAAAAAACGACATTTTACATACTATAAGTATTTTTTTCGCATTTCTTCACAGAGCTCCTCGGCAACTTGACTTATCAACGGACCGCGCGTGACTGTAAACCAAGAAGTGCTTGAGTGGTGTTCAAGCACTCTGAGCGTCTCCAAGGAGGGTCGACCAAAATTAAAAAAAACCGTAAAGGATACGCACCGCGCCATGTATGGGAAGCGTGCGGTAAAACTTTTACTGCAAGCTCAGTTGTATGGCCCGTAAATTTAAACTTTCGAACAATGTATACAACCTCCGTAAATGCATTTTTTTAGCAAATGTGTTGAAAAAAGTTATTGTTCTATACTTTGCATGGGCTTACCTTTCAAACTTGTTTTTATATTTCGAAGTATCCTGTTTTTGACCTGAAATTAACAAAAACATAACCTGAGTAACTTGATAAAGATTTTTTAAAAATCCGTTATTATATATCTAACCAGTATTAAAGTAAAATAAGTATAATTGCTAATATACAAATGTTGCCTCAAATTGATAACTAACTTCTGCAATGTCTATGGATGTTGGTAAAACCCTCTTGGAAAAATTGGATGCAAATATCATAAAGACATTGAAGTTATGGCTTGGACAATCCCATTCAGCTGATCCGTCAACTCTATTTAGAGATCAGATTAGTTTTGGGATCTGGGTGATGAGATTTGGAAAGACCAAGGCCTGTCCAGAACTGCAGTAAGTTCAATTTTGGAACGAGTAACTAAGGCTGCACTAACAGGCTCCTATCAAATTTGGCTAGCAAAGGCGGACAACTCAAGCAGTGAAGGTGAGCGTTGATGCGCATCTTAAAGATGGCCTCCTTAAACCTAAACCTGGGTCACAAGTCCTGGGAACTGCTCAGTTTCTCTTTGTCCCACACAATGGACCCGGCATCCACACTGTAAGTCTAGGAATGCTAAGAAGTTCGTCTCTCTACGAGACCGACAAAACTGAAAAATTATGGATATATGAAGAAGCAGGGTAAGGCCAAAACAACATCACAATCATACGACACTGCTCGTTCCACATACATCGAATACCCAGAACGCACAGCAATGAGAAAATGCTTATTGTGTTCGGAATCATTCATAAACTTTTATCAAGCATTTGTTGAAATACAGACAACACATTATTAGTTAAGATAATATACAACTACAACAGTGAAAACATTTTCTTGAACAATACCAAATAATTGTCATGTACTACTGTTTGAATGAAAACAGGAATTCATATGAAATACAGACCTTCATAAGGTAGTACTTTAAGCTTCTGTCCTTCTACTTCACATCCATCAAGTTCCTTGTAGCAAATGGAGCCTGGAAGACTGGATGTAAACCTTACTATGAATTCACCTCTTTTATGGAGAGAAACATGAGGCAATTGGGCTTTCACAACCTGCAACATATTAGGGTGTGTTAAATGCTATAACAGTGACACCAAATAAAGACAACATTCTTAGGTCACAACTATGTTATTTAAAATTAACTTTTAAATGAGAAGTAATATTTGTTTATTTCTTTTTACAACAGACAAGGCTTATCTTTGTACGCTACCATAAATAACATCTAGTATTACAAGTCTCTTGTTTGTGATTGCTCCTAAACATAGTATAAAGTCACTTTCTGTATCTGTTTATATATCCACAAACTTTAAGACCATCTGATCATCATTATACTGTCAATCAATATTTGAATGATAAAACGGCCTGGTTGTAATTTTACCTGTAGATAATTTTTAAAAGTTATATTAAAACTAAGGCTCCCAGCCTTAGAAAGAGTTTTGAAATGAACCTTGAACTTACTCCCTTTCATATACTTGTTCATTTTGTTTTGAAAATTGTTTCTTGCTATTTTGGGATTTATTGTTATTGCACTTATTGTTAGTAAATTTGTTGATTGTCTATTGTTACATATTAGACATTATGTGATGGAAGTTGACCTCAACACATGTTTGCAAGTTTGATGTCAACTTTCAATTGGACGATACTGTATGAAATAAAACAGGGAGAAAAAAGCAGCCCTTGCTGAGTTTCTTGCCGGTTCTTCTCAGTACAAGGTCTGTCGCCGTAGATTTGCGAACCGATGGAGTAGCTTTTCGACATTCACAAGTGCTTGTAACAGCCTAGACTGAATAAACGATATTGAATTTTGAATTGAATTTTTTTTGAATTTTGAATCAGTTTTCAGGATCACTTAATTGATTTTTCATGGCAGGCTATATAAGTCCAATAAATAATCTTTAATTAAAGTTAATATGCTATACAAAAAGTGTTAGTACCCTGCTATGCTATACAAAAAATACAGATTTAGCACATCATAAGTATATAAATATTATATATAAAGATTATTTATTACATGAATTTGTAATTGAAATACCTAGATGCCATTTGAATTTTATTTATTTTTATTGAACTTTCTGTTTTGGCTAGGCTGGAAGATATCTCTTTTAGAGATAAACCTACCTTCATTTAGTACTTAATTGATGTTGTATACTTGTAATATTTTCATGCGATATTGAGATTTTTGAGTATAGTAAATAAAATCTTGGTCAGAATCTTTGATACACTCAAAAAAAGATGAATACCAAAAAGCTTACCGGTGACTGGCTTATGCGGCCAATGTGTTCTCTTAGTTTCTCCCATTTCCAGTTGAATGGTGCATTTTTGACCATGAACCTTCGGAAGTCAAAATCGTCATTTTCCGCGGTCTTTGATTCTGAATTCTTCGAAGGGCTATCTGGTATCTCGTAGGATTCGATTTGCACACTGGATGACCGAGATCGTCCGGATAAGGGTGAACGTGATCTAGATCGAGACCGTGATTCTGAAATAAAAAGTTTTAATAAATAAATATTAACTAACAATAACTTACAATAATATATACGTAAAAACACTCACTAGACATGTTGAACTACGTGAGAACCGCGAGAAGTTTTTTGTTATCTGAATGAAATTTACTTTATTTAGGCACAAACAATCCGGGAAAATAAATATAGAGTTCAAATTAAGAACAATATCAGAACACGCAATTAAAATAAGGTAGCTAAAATGTTAAATTTTGTACAGTACGAATCGAGAATGTCAAACAAACAAATTTTCATTTACTATTCGTATTTGCTGTTTGTAAACTTGACAATAGTGGTGTCGATTCTGGCATGATTCTCTAAAGCTAAACTTAAATTTGACAACAGTGGTGTCAATTCTGACACGATTCTCTAAACCTTATCTTAAATTTGACAACAGCGTATTCTTTTCATTCTTTAAATGGAATGAAAGGGAGAGATTGATGTTAAGTTTTAAGTTAAGAGAATCACGCCAGAATCGACACCATTGTATCCTTGTCATTCTCTATACAGAATAAAAAGGACAGACTGCTGATAAATTTAGTTTTCAGTTTAGAGAATCCTGCCTTGACACCAATGTGTCCAACAGCAGCTTTTTTTTTAAAAATGGGTGCGTGTACTTATGTAGGCGCGTGAGAAGTTATCCTTCTTTGGCATCGTTTAAAATTAGTTTTTAATTGCATGCAAATAATTAATTACAATAAATTAATAAAAAGTCTGGAAAAGGACGAAGTCAATAAAGTTCAGTTTTAATTTGAAAAAATAAATAAATAATCAAAATATTCAATTAAAATCGCTACTGAATATAATTTATTACAACATATGTGATTTGCACTTGTATGAAACTCAAACACGTATTCCGAATATACAAACTAGAAACATGTGGATAAATATTATAAATATGAATACCTATAACTGTTACTTTATTACAAAAAATAAAGATGTGGTTTTTGGTTCTACTACACCAATGGTCAAGAGATGGCGCTGTAGTCTCCTGAATCGCGCTTTGGTTCCGTTGTTCCAGATTAATAAATACTTTTTGTTACTTTATTCCAAAAAATAAAGAGGTGGTTTTTGGTTCTACTACACCAATGGTCAAGAGATAGCGCTGTAGTCTCCTGAATCGCGCTTTGGTTCCGTTGTTCCAGATTAATAAATACTTTTGATAGGCCTTCACAATGCAGTCGTTAGCACCCACTAAATAGAGATTCTATTTCTATTTTGTTGGTAGATTTTCTTAATGTGCGGTAAACACAAAAGTAACGCATGAAGTTGGTCACTAAAGCGACCAACTTCATTATGTTAAAATTTTGTGTTACAGTGATGCGCGCGCATCTTAAAATTTCACTCTCATCATTTTTTCATAACGCGCCTAAAGAAGTATAACTTCAAAAAAAAAAGACTTATCTCAAGTAAACAAATACCAAACACGAATAGATATGTGAAACAAAGTGATATGCCGCCATCAAAATGTCAACTATTTTTTTTAAGGTAAAGAACATAAGGACCACACACCCTAACTACTTTTTTTCTTGTTTTACGGCCAACGGTGAAAATATCAACCACAATAAAATTAGTGATGCAGGAAACGACTAATCAAATAATCGTTTTAATTATTATTGGTAATCGAAGCTTATTGATTATATTGTTGCGGTGACAATTACACGCCCCACGTATTTATCAAAGCAAGACACTTCATAATAACAGGCGGCACTACCGACGCTGCACTCAAAAAGTATAGAAGTCTAAATCGTGCGATATAAATTCGGAGGCTCATTTGAAAGATACCATGCCCGATGTGATGCACAAGGACCATAGCCGCCACTGCCGAACAGGAACGCAAATATCCGCCGCTGGTGGTCGAGTATCTGCCAAATTGGCCGAACTCCCAACGAGCGCTCTTTTGCCACGGGTGTGCGGTTTACGCTTTTGTTTTAATCTAAGACGCAGTTACATGGCGAAGAGTACTGCAGGTTTACCTCTCCAATAATTCAATCCCAATTCGAATCCCGGAAGTACGAAGCATAAAGGTAGTCATATAAGAGCTGCCTTTCAACACAGTCGCATCACATCACTGAGGTCCTTAACACCAAAAGCTTCGCTTGTGAATAAATAAAGCTGATCCAGGGGCGAGGTGGCCGCCCCGGATGCATATTTTTTGCCGCATTCAAGAGGACACCTGGCACCGTCCTGGCCATATACTCGGTGAGTGAGCTTCTAAGCATGACCGGGATCATCATTGTGATTCAAAAAGGGTCGTCCTGCGCAATGTCACCGCTGTCATGGGTTCAAACACTCCTCCAAGGGTTGTCACCGCGCGCTTGCCTGCGTTTACAACAGAGACCTGCATGCCGCTGCGGATCATTCCGGGGCCGTCGCTCACTACCTTACGCGGATTGCAAGGACCCGCATCCCGCCAACCACAGCTTGTGCCCCGTTATCAACCGCGAAGCGCATAATAGGAAGGCGTCAGCAGTGGGCAGAATTGGCCACACACCCTACCACAACCACGCGAGATGAGCGCTCCACCACCACAGAAAGGTCAATCAAAACCCTGCCGTCTCGCGGTAATAGAAAAAAGAAAAAGAATTGCCTAGATGCAACACACCGATGTGACGACCCCCGCCACCCTACCACCTGCCGAAACACGTTCCAATACCGGCTTGCTCTCCCTCATGTAAGTCGCCCGCTCGCTGGTCGCTCACCGGACCTCTCTCATTAAGACGTGTCCGCTGCGCCATGTTTTGAACAGAACACTGTTTTGTCGAACAAATACACTTGAACGTGTTTGCCGGAGTTTGTAGAAAACATCCCCCGTGTTCGTCTGCGGGCGGTGAGTGATCATTTATTTTATGATTTTGGCGTAGGAAGACGTGTTTTGATGTGATTATCACGATGGAGTGCATTGTGGAATGGAATCCAGAGACAACACTGGTATTAATCATGTTGATACGTGAAAAATCCGTAATTTAGGATGCAACTACAAATGAAAATAAATATAAAACAAAAAAATCAGATGCCTTCGAGGAAGTTATGGGTAATTTTGTGAACTCTGTAAGGGCAGAATGGTTGAGCCTTAGATCACAATTCAATCGAGAAAAAAAAGAGAACTAAACCCACTACAGCCAAAACAATTTGCACGTCTTCCTCGTCGCTGCTATTTTTTTCAAATGTGAGGTTTTGTTAAAGACATTTGTTTCAAATTTAATTTTAAAAATTAATGTCTCTAAAAAGCTTTTCATAATTTAACTTGAATAAAGTAAATTTTTCGTGCATTTAATTTTTATTTTTAAAGTCAATATGATAAAGAGGAAAGATTTGTTTGTTTGTTTGTTCGTATTCAATGGGCTATGAAACTACTGGGCCGATTTGAAAAAATCTTACACATTTAGAATCCTACATTATCCCTGATGAACATGCATTACAGTATTTTCAATAAAGTTAGGACTTTGTATAAAAAATCGATAATGTAACCAGGGTGTAAAAAAAACCCAAAAAATCAACTAATATCACTTACGCTACGTAAGTCATTGAAAATAGAGCAAAGCAAAGTGATATACTAAAGTTTTATAGAGGACATAAATATCTACAAAAAAGTCCGCGATATCATATTTTCAACTATGACAGTTATGTCACAACTAAAAACTGCGGTTTCACCCACGTTAATTTGAGGAAAAAGGTTATATGCTGCCGCGGACTTTTTTAAATAAGATTTTTAAGGGAACTATTCCGACATCCATGATTTTTGTGTAACTTCAAACATATAAGCAGCGCACGCAACGGAATCTTCCAAATGGAATATTTTTACCCGTTTTTGCAACATTTTACATCGATACTCCTCTCCTGCTTGTCGCAACGTAATATTATATGGTATAAGCTTTAAGCCCTCCTCAATAAATACAATACCCAACACAGAACATTTTTTTCTAATCGGACCATTAGTTCCTGAGATTTGCGAGTTCAACCAAAAAATGGTGCATTCAATACAACGGGTTCTAAACTATGCAACAAAATTTTCACTATCAGTTAAATAAATTTTCGCGGAAGGTTTATCCATACTAATACTAATATACTAATATACTAATACTAATATACTAATTACTTAATTACTTAATATACTTAATATACTTAATATACTTAATTACTTATTTACTTAATACTTATATACTTATAATATTATATATTATTTATTTTTAATATTATAAATGGGAAAGTGTGTTTCTTTGTTTGTTTGTCTTCTCTTCACGCCTAAACCGCTGAACTGATTGTGATGAAATTTGGTATATGTATAGCTTGAACTTATGAGACTGCTATAGGCTACTTTTTTTAATTTATGTATTCGAATTTACATAATTTTCAATTAAATTAATCATTTCCATGGTTGGTTCCGATAGAGATGGCACTACTGTCACGAAGACTGATTAAATTTGAAATGTGGAAGTTGCTATCTTAACATAATACGAGATGGCACCACTCGTGTTCAATACCGAGTATTTTGTGTTAGTGTTTCATTTATTAAATCGAGGTAATTTTAGGCAATGTCTTTCTAATCTCATTTTTAAAATTAAATCTAGCAAATACTACTCTAAATTTATAATATAAAATATCTTATAATAATATAAAATAGAGATGGCGCTACCATCTCGAATACCAACTCAACCGAGTAGTCTCTCTTGAAATAATATTTTCTGAGTAACTTAACAGATGGCACCACCCGTCTTTTTTAATTGCTAAAAATGTGAGTTGTGATATTGCGTTTTTTCAGATCGCGCTATTTATGAACATGACTTTTTAATATTTATTGTTAATTTTAACGTGATGTAGGTAGATATTTTAATTAAAACAATATTAGTAAAAAAAACCGACTTCCTTCAGTGTCCTAATATCTTACCAGAAAATCTTATAAACATCAAATAGATATTAAATAATCAGCTGTTTACAGTAGACATATACTAAATAAACAGCTGTTATGATTTATTTTAGTCCCTTAATCGAGTATTATCCAATAATTTTCAAGTGAAGATTGATCCTGGATGTTGAGTAGAGGTAGGCGCTACCAACTCGAATAACAATTCGAAAACCAAACTGTTGCGTGTGAAACTGAAGAGATGTCGCTACCCGTCATTAAAATCGAGTTTACTTGCACTAAAAATCTGAGGTTTTTCGGATGGCGCTATTCATGAACATTACTTTTTTATATTTATTGTT